CTCTTCTTCTTCTTCTTCTTCTTCTTCTTCTTCTTCTTCTTCTTCTTCTTCTTCTTCTTCTTCTTCTTCTTCTTCTTCTTCTTCTTCTTCTTCTTCTTCTTCTTTTTTCCCGGTAGTTGTTCCCCACAGTTCTTGCCCTTACTGTTCACCTTCCCTGGTTTGCCATTTGGGCTCTCCTTCTGCCTCAGCACTCAAGGGCTGTTTCGCCCAGACGCCAGGCGGGGGGGTGGGTGCGCGATTCCCCCGTCCTCCGTCTGCCCCTCAGTCAGAGGGATAATTACGCGATCGTAACAGCGCCATAAAACCGGGCCGATGCAGCGCGGGAAGCACTTTTGCCTCCCAGAATGAGGGAACAGGGGAAAGTCGGTTTTAATTTCACCTTTGGAAATGGTCGCTCGGAGACACGGGTGGAATTTCCTCTCCTCCTTGGCACCCGACACACGCAGCGGGTTCCTGCCGGTTGACAGGGTAGATCGTTTGCGATGGCGTGATCTCAAGGATCTCAAGGATCTCCGCGGGAGTCAGTGTTCCCTCTGAGCTGAGTTAGTGTGAGCTAGCTGACAGTTTTTTAGCCTCCGGCTCACGCATTTTCTTCTTCGCTCAGGAAGGATGGCTCCAGAGCAAACTGATTTAATGCAGTGGCCAAATCGCTCGCTCACAACTTTAATGCCAGGAGCTCACAACGTAGGATTTTGGCTCACGAGACTCCACAGCAGAGGGAGCATTGGTAGGAGTGTGTGTGTGTGTTAGAGGACTCCCTCCCTTTGTGAGAAGAGAGCTCAGTCTTTACCAAAGAGCTCTCTGAGACACCAAACACCCTTTACTGGTTTTCACTGATTTGTTGCCCTCACCCCTCCCTCTTTATCAGGAAAGAGCTTTGACCCATAAGTCCCTTGCCCCAGGAAAGTTGCTCTTTCAATGTAGATTTTTTTTTAATCTTCCCCTTTAAATACAGTGTAAACAGGGATGTCCCAAAAGCCCCTTGCGGTAAACTATGCCTAGTTCCATCTCTTTGAAACCAGAAGCTAGGGTTTCTTTGAATCCTCTGAGATGAGAGGGGCCATGGCTCAGTGGAAGAGCCTCTGCCTGGCATGCAGGAGGTCCCAGGTTCAATCCCCGGCATCTCCAGTGAAAAGGACCAGGCAGGAGGTGATAGGAAAGACCTCCGCCTGAGACCCTGGAGAGCTGTAAAGAGGGGCTGTGGCTCAGTAGAAGAGCCTCTGCCTGGCATGCAGGAGGTCCCAGGTTCAATCCCCGGCATCTCCAGTGAAAAGGACCAGGCAGGAGGTGATAGGAAAGACCTCCGCCTGAGACCCTGGAGAGCTGTAAAGAGGGGCTGTGGCTCAGTAGAAGAGCCTCTGCCTGGCATGCAGGAGGTCCCAGGTTCAATCCCCGGCATCTCCAGTGAAAAGGACCAGGCAGGAGGTGATAGGAAAGACCTCCGCCTGAGACCCTGGAGAGCTGTAAAGAGGGGCTGTGGCTCAGTAGAAGAGCCTCTGCCTGGCATGCAGGAGGTCCCAGGTTCAATCCCCGGCATCTCCAGTGAAAAGGACCAGGCAGGAGGTGATAGGAAAGACCTCCGCCTGAGACCCTGGAGAGCTGTAAAGAGGGGCTGTGGCTCAGTAGAAGAGCCTCTGCCTGGCATGCAGGAGGTCCCAGGTTCAATCCCCGGCATCTCCAGTGAAAAGGACCAGGCAGGAGGTGATAGGAAAGACCTCCGCCTGAGACCCTGGAGAGCTGTAAAGAGGGGCTGTGGCTCAGTAGAAGAGCCTCTGCCTGGCATGCAGGAGGTCCCAGGTTCAATCCCCGGCATCTCCAGTGAAAAGGACCAGGCAGGAGGTGATGGGAAAGCCCTCAGCCTGAGACCCTGGAGAGCCGCTGCCAGTCAGAGTAGACAATATTGACCTTGGTGGGCCAAGGGTCAGATTCAGTATGAGGCAGGTTCATGTGTTCTGGAGGGACTGTGGCTCAGTGGCAGAGCATAAGAACATAAGAGACGCCAATGTTGGATCAGGCCAAAGGCCCATCCAGTCCAACACTCTGTGTAACACAGTGGCCAGAAATACCAGTGCCACCAGGTGGTCCACCAGTGGGGCCAGGACAGTTTGGCTGGGGATCCTGGATCCTGGAGGGTTTTTGCCATCTTCTGGGCGTGGAACAGCAGTCACTGGGGTATGTGTGTGTGTGGGGGAGTATTCGTGAATTTCCTGCATTGTGCAGGGGGTTGGACTAGATGACCCTGGAGATCCCTTCCAACTCTACGATTTCAAGTGGGGGTTGGAGACATCCCAGAACCGCAACTGATCTCCAGGCTGCAGAGATGAGTTCCCCTGGGGGAAAATGGCCGCTTTGCAGGGTGGACTCTGTAGCTTTATACCTCATGGAGTCCCCTCCCCGAACCCCGCCCTCCCCAGGCTCCACCCACAAATCTCCAGGAAGTTCCCAGCCTGACTCCTGCCTGGCAGTTGAAGGATAATCATATGGAGCAGAGGTCCATCAGTGGCTATTAGCCACAAGGTATAGGTAGGGACTCTGGGGCAAGTGATGCTCTGTCTTCTTGGTGCTTGTGGGGGGGCAACAGTGGGAGGGCTTCTAGTGTCCTGCCCCCACTGCAGGACCTCCTGATGGCACCTGGTATTTTTGGCCACTGTGTGACACAGAGTGTTGGACTGGATGGGCCATTGGCCTGATCCAACATTGGCTTCTCCTATGTCCTTTTGATAAGCATATGGAGCAGAGGTCCATCAGTGGCTATTAGCCACAAGGTATAGGTAGGGGCTCTGGGGCAAGTGATGCTCTGTCTTCTTGGTACTTGGGGGGGGGGGGCCAACAGAGGGGGGGCTTCTAGTGGGCCCCACTGGTGGACCTCCTGATGGCACCTGGTATTTCTGGCCGCTGTGTGACAGAGAGTGTTGAACTGGATGGGCCATTGGCCTGATCCAGCATTGGCGTCTCTTATGTTCTTATGACGGTTTCACTGCACAAGAAATCTGCAAATCCTGCAGGCCAAGGCTCCGTCGGGCCATCAGAACGGCGTAGAAGAGGGCCTCTTCTCTACGTCGTTCCCAAATTATAACTAATCGGCTTTCCCTATAATCCCACGGGGTCGGCGTTTGGACACGGAGTTCTGCATTCCTCCGCATGACTGTCACTTCCCCGCCTCTCTGTTGTTTTTTTCCCTTGCAGGCTTTGCCGCTGGTGGGATTCCGTTTCCAGAAGGTGGGCAAGAAGCCGCAGCTGAGCCTGATCTGGGAGCCGGAGAACCCTGAGCAGGAGGCTCCGGAACAGGTAGAGTCCCCTCCCAAACCTAACCTTGCCAAGGGGAGCCGGACGGGTCGAGGTGCACTCCCCCTGATGTTGATGCCTAGGGTCCGTTCACACCACAAGAGTCATTTCGTGCTGCGAAGGAGGGCTCTTCTGCGGTCAGCTGAAGTAAAGGTAAAAGTCAAGGTTTCCCTTGCTCGAAAGCCAGTCAAATCCGACTCTAGGGGTGTGGTGCTCATCTCCGTTTCCAAGCCGAAGAGCCAGCGCTGTCCGAAGACGTTTCCCTGGTCACGTGCTCGGCATGACTAGACACCGAGGCACATGGGACGCTGTGACCTTCCCACCCAAGCGGTACTTGTTTATCTACTCGCAGTTTCTCGCTTTCGAACTGCTCGGTCGGCAGGAGCCGGGGCCAGAGACGGGCGCTCACTCCGTCAGGAGGCGCTCGGGTCTTGAACTGCCGAACGACCGACCTTCCAGTCTGCAGCTCAGTGACTTAGCCACTTGAGCCGCTGCAGCCCTCGGTCCGCTGAAAGGAGAGTTCAAACGGTAGCGTCACGTCTCCTCCCCGTGAAAGTCTGTCTAGTGTAGCGTAGGTCTATCGTCGGTCTACTCCCGTCCAGGCTGATTCTGCATCCATCTGTTTCCTTGCAGTTTCCCCACAGCCGGTTCGGGAGCTGAATCTCCCTCTACACCGCATGCCGCTTTCACTTTCTTTGTCTGGGAGCATTTGCCCAGGCTGGCCGCAAAGTGAAAAGCAGTGTGTACACTCCCCTCCCCCCAAGAATGGCTGATAATCTGCAATTGACTCATGAACAGCTGGTGAGAGAGAGAAGGAAGCAGTAAATTAAGCAAGAAGGGGATTTGGGGGGTGTTAGAGGGAGCTGCCCTAACATAACCACTAAATTTCGGCTGTCCACTTAAGCCCCGCAATCTCATTTTAAGTTTTAAATCGCCGCAAATCCAATCTCTTCTCCTTCTTTAAAAAGAGAACTATTATTTCACATAATAACAAAATTATGGGGGGGGGGGAATGAGCAATGGCTTTGGCTGGCCGCAAAGTGAAAAGCAGTGTGTACACTCCCCTCCTCCCAAGATAATCTGCAATTGACTCATGAACAGCTGGTGAGAGAGAGGAGGAAGCAGTAAATTAAGCAAGAAGGGCATTGGGGGTGGGGGGTTAGAGGGAGCTGGCCTAACATAACCACAAAATTTTGGCTGTCCACTTAGGCCCCACAATCTCATTTTAAGTTTTAAATCGCCGCAAATCAGATCTGGGAAAAGATACGTGAACAGCGCAGAGAATGCTGGAATGCGGATGGGGGGCTGACAGCGATGTAGTCCGGACTGGCTGTTAGAACAGTGTGGGCAAACGACAAGGATCCCGGACCCTCGCACGTTAGTGCGGGGGTCACTCAAAGTGTCGCTGCCCGCTCAGTCCCCACCCTGGAAGGCTCTCGTGCAATGGAACGTCTGCCCAGTCATTCCTTCGCTTGCTTCTTCCCCTCTTCAGCCGTCCAGACTGTATCTCAAAAAGGACATTGCAGAGCTGGGAAAAATACAGAAGAGGGCAACCAAGACTATTCAGGGGGTTGGAGCACCTTCCCTGTGAGTGAAGGCTGAAGAGTCCGGGACGACTTAAGGGGGGACATGATAGGGGTTTATAAAATGATGCACGGGGTGGAGAGTGTTGACAAAGAGACATTTTTCTCCCTCTCCCAAAAGACTAGAATTCGAGGGCATCCAATGAAACTGATGGGCAGTAGGTTCAGGATGGACAAAAGGAAAGACTGCTTTACACAGAGAGTGATTGAAATGTGGACTTTGCTACCGGAGGATGCAGTGATGGCCACAGGAATAAGCAGCTTGAAAAGGGGATTAGATAGATTCATGGGGGATAAGTCTATCAATGGCGACTAGCCATGGTGACTGAGGGGAACCTCCACATTCAGAGGTACTAAGTCTCTGGATCCCGGAGACAGGAGGCAACATCAGGGGAAGGCCTCGGCCTCTCTGCCCTGTTCTTGGCCTTCCAGAGGAACTGGTTGGCCACTTTGTGAGACAGGATGCTGGACTAGACGGACCACTGGTCTGATCCAGCAGGGCTCTTCTGATGTTCTTGTGAAGGCCTCGGCCTCTCTGCCCTGTTGTTGGCCCTCCAGAGGAACTGGCTGGCCACTGTGTGAGACAGGATGCTGGACTAGATGGACCACTGGTCTAACCCAGCAGGGCTCTTCCTGTGTTTTTAAAGAAGGCACTCCATCCCGCTGATGAGCCCAGTTCCTAGAGAGGAAACTCCAGATTGGGGGGGGGGAGAGAAGCAGAGGAAGAAGAAGAGGAGGAGGAGTTAGTTTTATGCCCCGCCCTTCGCTACCTGAAGGAGTCTCGGAGCAGTTTATAATCGCCTTTCCCTTCCCCTCCCCACAACAGACACCCTGTGAGGTGGGTGGGGCTGAGAGAGCTCTTTCGAGGACAGCTCTCAGAGAACAGCTCTGAGAGAACTTGTGACTGACCCAAGATCACCCAGCTGGCTTCCTGTGAAGGAGTGGGGAATCAAACCCAGTTTTCCAAATTAGTCTTCGCCACTCTTAACCCCTGCACCATGCTGGCTCTCAGAATGGCCACCTTCTGATCTGAGGCCATTGAGCATGATGCTGGGAGTGGTTCATAGTGGGGGCAACGCACCCTACCCGTGCTCAGGAACACCTTCGCATGTCCTTTCTTTGAATGTTCCAACACACCGGATCTTCGATCCAGTGACCTCAGGCACCAGTTAAGCCATTCCTTTGACCTCCTTTACATACCTACAAAGATGTTCCTATAGATCAGGCCCACAAAATCACAGAGGTGGGAAAGGCTGGTGAGAATTGAAATTCCACATTGACCACGGTTCTCCATGGACAGACCGTGGCCTCCCTCTTGACAGCTCTCTTTGCACTGGAACCGAGCGTGGGGTTGAATCAGTTCTGTTTTTGACGGGGTGTCCCAGTGAGGAACGTGACCGGGTGTCGCTGCAGGCTTTTTCTGTCTCAGCACATGCAGCTCGTGTGAGTCATCCAGCTAAAAGGCGATCTTCCTGCTTTCTCACGTGACCTGCCGGGTGCTAGATCCTCCCCGTTTCCGGCAACTCCAAAACCAACTAGCAGGGCGTTTGCTGGCCATGCAGGAAGTCCCAGGTTCCAAAACCACCAAGGCCGGGGAATTGGTGATAGAAGAAGAAGAAGAGATTGGATTAATACCCCACCCTTCACTACCCAAAGGAGTCCCAGAGCCCTGTATGCCCTGTTGTTGGCCCTCCAGAGGAAATGGTTGGCCATTGCATGAGACAGGATGCTGGACTAGATGGACCACTGGTCTGATCCAGCAGGGTTCTTCTGATGCCCTTATGAAGGCCTCAGCCTCTCTGCCCTGTTGTTGGCTGTCCAGAGGAACTGGCTGGCCACTGTGTGAGACGGGATGCTGGACTAGGCAGACCCCTGGTCTGACCCAGCAGGGCTCTTCTGATATTCTTATGAAGGCCTCGGCCTCTCTGCCCTGTTATTGGCCCTCTAGTCTAGAGGAACTGGCTGGCTACTGTGTGAGAGAGGATGCTGGACTAGAGGGACCCCTGGTCTGATCCAGCAGGGCTCTTCTGATGTTCTTACAGAGGCCTCGGCCTCTATGCCCTGTTGTTGGACCTCCAGAGGAACTGGTTGGCCACTGTGTGAGACAGGGTGCTGGACTAGAAGGACCACCGGTCTGATCCAGCAGGGCACTTCTGATGTTCTTAGGAAGGCCTCAGCCTCTCTGCCCTGTTGTTGGCCCTCCAGAGGAACTGGTTGGCCGCTATGTGAAACGGGATGCTGGACTAGAGGGACCCATACTGGTCTGATCCAGCAGGGCTCTTCTGAGGTTCTTATGAAGGCCTCGGCATCTATGCCCTGTTGTTGGCCCTCCAGAGGAACTGGTTGGCCACTGTGTGAGACGGGATGCTGGACTAGGTGGACCCTCACGGGTCTGACCCAGCAGGGCTCTTCTTACGCTGCCAGTCCAAGTAATCAGTGCTGACTTTGATGGACCAGGGATTTGGGAGAGAAAGTAGGGGTCAAATGCCTCAGAGCCCACCCTCCAAAACAGGCATTTTCTCCAGGGGAACTCACCTCTGTATTCTGGAGATCCATTGTGATTCTGGGAGATCTCCAGGCCCCCACCTGGAGGTTGGCAACCCAACTAGGTTCAGCGTCTGGCTTTCTAGAGCCTAGAGGACTTTCAGTCCCGTGTGTTGCCAACGGTACGCCTGCAGAGCCGCCTTGAAGGAGCCGGCCTTCCCGTTCCTCCTGGGCCTTTTCACTCCCTCAGCCTGACAGCAAAAACACACACACACCCCGCAACCCCTCCGAGCAGGAGGACAGGCGCTGGCACTCCCCCCACCCCCCGCTCTCCCAGAAGCCAGCGAGGCAGAGCTCGGCCTGGCCTGCGCGGCTTCCAGCCTTCTGTCCCCAGCAAATCTTTTTTTTCCTTCCCCTCTTGCAAAAGAAACACTCTCCATGAATCTTCCCCGCTCCCTAAGAAAACATGGGCAGCCCTCCAGCTGGTCGGGGTCCTAGATTTCGGAATCAATCACTCTCCAGCCCCCAGCCTGCCCTGAGCCAGACGTGCCTGCCCCGGAAGCCCTGCTGAAGCGCAAGAAAATGTCACCGTGACCTGTGAGGGCGATAGCAGGGAAACGAAGCCCGGTGCACATACGCCAACGCCCAGTACACATGCGCCAACGCACGCCCGGACCAGGCGCCCTCGGTCAGTCCTGCGAAACACAGGCCAGGGGAGCGGAGCTTGGCATCCGGACATCTGGCTCCACCACGTTCGGTACCGCTCGCTCCAGCTTGGGAACCTGCCCTCTGAATCGGCCGCTTGAAGAATAAATAGCTGTCGGGGAGGGGAGGGGGGTTACGGGCTGCCGGTGTGTCGTAGGAGCAGGCCAGGGGCCCCGAAAGCATCATATGCTGTGTTCAAGAGCATCATGCATCGAGACGTAGGAATCAATGCTCCCTCTAAGCTGTGAATTCTACTTTGTGAGCGACTGGCACTAAAGTGGTGAGCGAACGATTTGGCTGCTGCATAAATCAGTTTGCTCTGAAGCCATCCCTTCCTGAGCTAAGAAAAAATGTGTGAGCCGGAGGCTAAAAAACTGCAAGCTAGCTCACACTCAGCTTAGAGGGAACACTGGTAGGGGTATTCTTCTATCTGCCATGGTCATAGATCCAGAGGAGTTAGCCGTGTTAGTCTGTTGCTGCGAAACAGTAAAAAGCCCAGTGGCACCTTTAAGACTAACAAATTTTATTGTAGCATAAAACACAGCTCGTTTCATCAGATGCATGGAGGGTATGAAGAAACTGGCCAGAGATATGTTGGTGGTAAGGGGAGGGGGGAGGGGATGCAGAAAGTGCCATGTAAAGGCAAAGCAGCCACAGAAGTCATGAGAAAGGTTGAATGTGCAATCCAGGCTGGGTGCGTGGCTCGCACATGGCATTCAAATATTGCTGGACCAGATCCCGTAAGAACATCAGAAGAGCCCTGCTGGATCAGACCTGTGGTCCATCTAGCCCAGCATCCTGCCTCACACAGAGGCCAACCAGTTCCTCTGGAGGGCCAACAACAGGGCAGAGAGGCCGAGGCCTTCATAAGAACCTCAGAAGAGCCCTGCTGGATCAGACCAGTGGTCCCTCTAGTCCAGCATCCTGTCTCACACAGTGACCAACCAGTTCCTCTGGAGGGCCAACAACAGGGCAGAGAGGCCGAGGCCTTCTTAAGAACCTCAGAAGAGCCCTGCTGGATTAGACCAGTGAGGGTCCTTCTAGTCCAGCATCCTGCCTTCCTCAGTGGCCAACCAGTTCCTCTGGAGGGCTAACAACAGGGCAGAGAGGCTGATGCCTTCTCCTGATGTTGCCTTCTGGCTCTGAGATTCAGAGCGTCTCCCAGGGCTTCTTCCTGGAGGTTATTCCTGGACCTTTCTAGCCTAAATTCCTCCAAAAGTCTCTGCTCCCTTCTAGGAGGAAGGTGGAGATGAGGGAAGCTTGGCCATGCCATCGACTAGACCTATTAGCATTTGTGAAGGGCCGCGGTGGCTCAGAGGTTCAGACCAGTGGTCCATCTAGTCCAGAAGGTTGGTAGCTCAGCACTTCGAGACCCGAGTGCCGCATGAAGGAGGGAGCTCCCATCTCTGGTCCCAGCTCCTGCCAACCTAGCAGTTCGAAAGCAAGAAATTGCCAGTAGATCAATAGGCACCGCTTCGGTGGGAAGGTAACAGCGTTCCGTGCACCTCGGCATCTAGTCATGCCGGCATCTAGTCATGCCGGCCACATGACCACGGAAAGGTCTTCGGACAGCGCTGACTCTTCGGCTTGGAAAGGGAGATGAGCACCGCATCACTTTACTGGCTTTCAAGCAAGGGAAACCTTGACCTTTATTAGCAATTGTCCCGACTTCCACTGACTTTCTCCTCCCCAGCCTGTTTTCTGCCCAAAGGGGGGGGAAAGCTGTTTAAAAACTGTTTAAAAAACTGTTTAAAAGCCAAGTGGAGGTTTGGCTCATTTCAAACCTCCCAGGAAAAAACTACATTTCTTCACATCCTCTAAGGCAAGTGATCTCTGTAGTCTGGAGTTTGGTTGTAATTCCAGGGGACCTCCAGCCGCACACCCACCTGGGGCTTGGCAACCCCACCTGTGACCATGGAGAGCCAGTTTGGTGTCGTGGTTAAGTGCGCGGACTCTAATCTGGGAGAACCGGGTTTGATTCCCCACTCCTCCACATGCAGCTGCTGGCGTGACCCTGGGCCAGTCACAAGTTCTCTCAGAGTTGTTCTCTCAGGAGCAGTCCTCGAGAGAGTTCTCTCAGCCCCACCGACCTCACAGGGTGTCTGTTGAGGAGCCAGTTTGGTGTGGTGGGGGGGAGGCAAGAACGGTGTTGGCAGGCATCATGCCGCCCACAGGCAGCCAGTTTGGTGTAGTGGTTAAGTGTGTGGACTCTAATCTGGGAGAATCGGGTTTGATTCCCCACTCCTCCACATGCAGCTGCTGGATGACCTTGGGCAAGCCATAGTTCTGTCAGAGCTGCCCTTGAAAGAGCAGTCCTCGAAAGAGCTCTCTCAGCCCCACCTACCTCACATGGTGTCTGGTGTGTGGAGGGGAAGGGAAGGGAGTTTGTAAGCCGCTCTGAGACTCCTTTGGGTAGTGAAGGGCGGGGTATAAATCCAATCTCTTCTTCTTCTGTAGTGGTTAGGAGCGCAAATTCTAATCTGGGAGAACCAGGTTTGATTCCCCACTCCTCCACTTGCAGCTGCTGGTGTGACCTTGGGTCAGTCACAAGTTCTCTCAGAGCTATTCTCTCAGGAGCAGTCTTCGAGGGAGCTCTCTCAGCCCCATCTCCCTAACAGGGAGTCTGTTGAAGAGCCAGTTTTGTGTAGTAATTAAGTGGGCGGACTCTAATCTGGGAGAACTGGGTTTGATTC